GGGAGGGAAAATTATGGAAGATGGGAAAATAGACAAGAAATAAAGGAGAGAATCGAGAAACTATATGGAGAAACAAGATTGTGGGTAAGGATATAAGGGAAGGATTCTGGAGTGTTTTGGACATATAAAGGACTAAGACAGGGATGTCCAGGTAATAGAGATATAACAAATGACGGAAATGATGGGAAAAATAGAGTGGGATTAGGTGAGGAATACGGATGGAGTGAAATGTAGAAAGTTGAAGATCATGGGATTTGGAAAGGGGGTGGGTGGAAGAAAAAGGTTAGATAAATTAAATATTTAGGCTACCAAATGCAAAGAAATAATAGAGCAAAGGCACAACTAAGAGAACTAAGGAAAATGGGGGTAGTGGCGATGAGACAAGTGTGGGGAATAGTAGAGAGAAGTTTCAAGCACAATTTCAAAACAAGTTCGATGCAATGGTTAGAGGGGTTTCATGTATGGAGCGGATGTATTAGGGTGGAGGAATGAGATGAACTGAAAGGGAATACAAAGAAGGTACCTATTATAAATGGGTATTAGGGCTAAACAGAAGGATACCAACGCTAAAGAATGCTAAATTGACTGGCGGGAATATTCTGTAGACAAAATTAGTTGAAAATTCTTGAGTGAACAATCTACTCAGGAAAAACTTCTTGATGCATACTACAAGGCTAATCGAAAGTGAATTTAAGTAATGGATGAACTTTCAAGCATGACGTTACCGAGCTGAAGGACCTCGTTGTCTTCAAACATTCGACATATCGTATGCAGTGAAGAGGCAAACATTACGAAGGATTGAAATTGCTTCATTTTCTCTTCTGCGAATATTCTGTATTCTGTGAGGGAGAACAAGAAATTTATCGAAGCAATTTTATTTGGGAACACATATTCTGTAGAAGTTTTGCCTGAGACCCGTTTTATTGAGGGCACACAGTGCGTTCGAGATAAGAGGAAAAAATGGAGAGATACGTCATTCAATATTCAAAAAACTGAAATCTAGCATTCCGTGTGCTGTTGTCTTATCTCGAACGCACTGTAGATTACGTAAGTGCTAAACATTTCGGAACGAATATCCTTCGAGGCGTATCTTCTGAGGAATAATGTTCGAAAATGAATTTTCTTGCTGCGAGATGCGATTACATCTAGAGACCAGTCCCCGTGTAGGGACGACTTACTCCGAGGTAACATTTCCACAGGTGGCGTATTTACTTGGCGGCTACCTTGTTCGTGGATGAATAGCCTAGTTTTAGCTTGCTTGCGCAAGAATATTACGATCATACATTTTCCAGAACCGAATAATTCAAAAGGAGATTCTTACGGAGAAAATTCTTTCGTTGTCAATTAATTCACTGGACTTTCTCAGGTTCAAACTCAAGCGATCTGAGCGGAACAATTACTGAACTCCCATTAGCTTAGATTATTGCTCCTGATAATATATAGGAATCATACAGTGTAGGGGTTTGAAAACTTACAATGGCTTTATTTTTGTATTAAGAAGAGTTTCTTTAATATCCAGGGGGGATCCAAATGACCTCTTTTTTAATCTACCCCCCACCGCCCATTTAGCACAACTCATTTGTGATACCTCTTGGCAAACGTACAATGCCTAATGACGTACTTTTCAATCATTTCAATTATTTGTTCCACGATATAAGCAACTTTTAAAAATAAACAAAGAACCACATAGAAGATAATAATGGCTCGATATATTGCTATGATTCTCGACCGCCTTTCATGGATGTCGCGTACAAAGTCCCTATATGTGAACCGAACTTATTCACGGACCCCCTGGTATTATAAAGCTGCCTTAGCGAGCCGTGATAAAACGAGGTGTTTTCATGTTGCCTGGTCTTCACCTAACTCGAGAAACTTAAACGGTTAGCAATCTGAAACTTGCAGCCATCAGATTTCAGAGTTCATAAACCAATGAGTAGATATGAGCCTGGTCAAAAGTCATGTTTGCGAATATAGTTCGATCAAGTACGAGCGGAAAAATGCCCTTCCCAATAATCGTACTTTATCCTTCATTCTTGTTTTAATCGCTTTAAACGTAATCTTTGAAGACCTCCCAGTTCTGAATCCCAATACTTCTTGGGAGATCCACTCGGAACCATTAGAAAATAATGGTTTCAACTTTGACATCTTTAACAAATATTGTTTCGTTCTGGTTCGTATTGCAAATGAGTATGATTGTGCATATCTTTACCGGTTTGTAACGCCTATTCGTTTGTAGATTCAATTTCACCAATCTACCACTTAAAATTGGCAGTGTCACTCTCGTTATCGGAAATGCTATAAGTAATACAGTTTGTGGCGTGTTAAAGGAAAGTCTTTTAGGACATTGTGTACTCCGACGTGATTGGTGGTTCTTAATAGTGTCTTTTTAAATTGCGTGCCTGTTTCAGTTTTCGTTATTTTGCACCGTCCGGATCTTTATAACACTAAAGGGTTAAAGACAAAATCCACTTTTGGGATGCGAAAGCGAGGTATTCTATTTTTTCGTTTTCCTGAAAAAATATATAATATGTAGGTAATAAAGGCATCATGCAGTGTATTTCTTGGGCAGTAAAGTATCCATTATCATCTATCTTTATTAAGCGATAGAGCAAAGCAATGAAAGCTTTATAGGGGAGTCGATGGTGTGCGTCTGTCCGCCTATCCGTGAACACGATAACTGTCAAACGCTTGGACCGATTTGGTTCAAACTTTGGAGAGTTGACCTATATGCCACAAGTAATAAGCCTATTGAACATGGGTCAAATCGAATGACTTCGTGGGGTCACACCGAGGTGCTCTGCCGCTTTTTTAAACGCTCTGTATGGGTTTATTAATTATGCGTAAAATCCAGTTTAAGAGATTCCCCGTACAAAAGTTTCGTCCGAAAGAGATCAAAATCAAAAAAATTAAGGCTTAAAAAAATAGGTTTAGGGGTCGGAAAAATGAAAGTGTACCTTTTTGTACATCTGAATAATTACAGGTAAGGAATTTAATAATTTAAGTTTCATTAATTCTCACTCATTCTTATTTAAAAGAAGTACTTGAAAAGAATTAAATAGTGCGAATAAGAAATGGTCTAAATTAATTACTAAGCTTGGTTGGGTCGTTTGAGTCGGTTGAGTTTTTTTTCTAGATTGAAACAATAAGCTTTCATTGTCACTTGTAAGTTCCAACTTTTAAGTTTAAACGTTCTAAAATATATGAAAGTATCACGTATGAAATGAAATTGAAATGAACGTTTTGCTACACCACCACCTAAAATATCGCAATCAACCCAGAATTGACCTCGTTAATACGAACGAAAAAAATAATGGGGTCAATTCGGTGCTTTGAATTGCGGCGACCCTTTAATTGCTGTTAAACATTGCCCGTTAGTTGTGAGTTACTTTTTTGTAATTTAGTTCATGCAGGTCCTGCTATGGGCACGAAAAGTGTTATCACTAGAATTAGATGGTAATCGCTTCTTTAAATGTCACAATAAATGAACACTGAGAGCATTGCTTGCCCAAAGCTCTGCTTGCGTTTCGATTTCTTTACAGATGTTAAAATAATGCAAGATTCTATACCGCCAACAGTTCATATTCTTTATGGATGCAGAAAGTATCTCAATATTTGTCGGGTCACAATAAATGCCGCAATATTTTTGTGGAGGGTGAGTAATTAAAAAACGTAAACAACGAATACGGAAGGAGCTCAGAGAATCAGCTTTACGTACAGAAATAAAGCTACTTGAAACTTGAATTAAAAAAATACGCAGGAACGAATCTAATATAGTATTTAAACAATGATAGTTCCTACCTACTTTTTGTCAATCCAAAAAAAAAGCCATTGGTTTAACCTGCTGTCTAAACGTATTAAATTTTTATTAACTAATATTTAAACCACGTTCTACCAAATTAAACCAGTTTTCGATTTAAAAAAAAATGACACACTTAATTTTTTGATGCAAGGAATCTGTTCTACTTTTTTATTACCTTTAAAGTGTTCTCGTTACGTATGATATATCATCAAAATAAACATTTAAAACTCTACAGGTGTAATCATATTTCACGCATAAATTATGGAAAAGAAATGCTAAGTCATAAACGTTATTAAAAACACTCCAAACACTCTAATTGCGACAAGCAAGTAATTTGGGAGCAGAATATTTTAAGCAATATATTACGCTTAATTCTAATTGGTTTTATCTAGTAGTAGTAGTAGTTAACGAGTTTGTTTAGATGATGCTGTTTTGCATGCTCTGATTAGCCTATTTTACATGAATACCAAGAGTATAACGCATATTAATATCATATAAGAGGTGAGCTAAAGTTACCCACGGTCACATATAATTCTCTATTACTATGAAATGGACATCGCGTAACCGCATATCTCTAGTCTCCTTGAATTTATTGAACTCGAACGGTATATCTAATAACGTCGCAAATTCAATCATAGAAGATCCTCGCGGAAGAATTTCATTATAACATCTTCTTTGCCTAATCTAATGATGACCGTAAAATTGTTTTGGAACATTAATTTAAATTACCTACGTGGTCCGATATTCAGATGAAACAATGCGGCGGAAATTTCAATTTAATTAGGCTAGTATGATAATTCTACTGCTAGTCACTGAAGATTGATTAATGATTATAAAAAAAATAGAACGGCATCACGCTAAGTAATAACCATGCGAGCAAAAAAAAGAGGTAATGTATGTTGGCTGCCTAAAAAGTCACTGTCTCGCCTGCGGTTCGATGGTGAAACACGACGACACAGATAACTGAAGTGACCGAAGACAAGGGTCCTTTGTTTCGAGTTTCGCCAAAAGTGTCGCCCCCCGAATTCCGACTAAGGGAAATGTCGCGGTTTTCAGTGAGCGTAAAATTGACACTAAAGAATCTTTTCTAATGACAAGTAATTAGTTAGAAATGCGACAAGAACCAGCTTCCAGTCTTCATTAACTCACGTTACGCATGAATGAGGCGCACTCTCAAAGAAAACAATTTCAATAAACTCACCAACAAGACTGTTTTCAATAACTTCGGCACCCTCGGGCAGATTAAAGGCGAGCCCTTGCGTTCCAAGATAATAATTCGCCTGACGTTGAACAAATTTCACAAATTTTGTAAATTCCGTATCGGCCGTAGATTGTCTCGCCGTAGGAAAGAAGTCGGGTCCATTGTCGTACAATCGTTCCATCTTAACTATCCTAACGGGGCTGGTATCGTTTCCCGACGAGGAGTAGTAGTAATCCCCTAGCGTAGTTAAATATCTTAGGGTCCTGTACTTGGTGCATGGAAAAATGTCGTTCGTCGCTTTACACTCCTGCCGAGATTCCTTAATGTAATCGTCCATTTCTGACCGCACAAATTTCGCAGTTAAAATAATTGTTAATACGAAAAACTTTAAAAACATCTTCAAAATTTTGGTCTTGAAACTGTTAGCAGCACTGGTGTTATCACACAAAACTAACCTTGACTTTCGTTCATATTTATATACCTGATATAGAAAAGCAGGTCATTTTAGGGTAGTAGGAGTCTATTCCTTATTCTAATTCATCTCCTCGCGAATCGTTTTTAAGACATCTAGCACAAGCACGCCTCCGTGGATACTTAATATCGCGTTAAGCGGAAGCATTGAAAACGAAACTAAAAGAAGTAATTTAATGGAGAGAGAATTTCTTAGCTACGAAATTAGTGTTTGTAAGACGTGAGACCATTTGAACTTAGAAATTATTGTCAATGAAGGTAAAAAAGCGATTATTCTACTGATCATCCGCGAAACAATAATTCGATTTTCAAATGTAAAAAGGCTATGCGGGAAAAAGTGAACTTTACGTTTTGTTAATTACTTTTACAGTCAGATAAGCAACTATTTCCTTAATTTAAAATCATTAGCTACGGATTCTTACTTATTTGATCTGAATTATTTTGTGAGTATACCTACTGCTACAATGTGTTAGATAATGGAATCAAAGTTACAATTAGAAATGGTTGTTTATTGCTAATAAAAGTTGTATGTTGTGTTTTTGCACTTACTGCGCTGGAACGAAGCGGAAACCTTTTTTATTTCAATCGACATGAATTTATGGATCATGTTCTTAATTAAATTATTCCCATTTACAGTCAATTTTAGTATAAGCATAACAAATACTATTTGGGGATTTTTGCAGGAATAATTAAGTGAATACTAACAAAAAATACCTCTCTATACATTAAGAGTAAAGTACTACTTTATTGCTTGAAACAGAAAGCGCGATATGCCCCTGGGAGCAGTGAATGTCCTTTTTCCCACGTGATTTTCCTACAATTATTTGCATAGTGACTGGAAAAGACATTCAATAACAACAAATCAATACTTTAGTATCGACACATGAGTATTACGCACAGTTACCCCATCAAGAACGATTTTAAAGTCTGAAAGTCCGGCAGGACGCCCATTCGCACGATAGGTAACTCAAAAACTCTTTGATCTAAGCAAATAGTGATTACAATGCGGGTGTCAACCCCCTGGGACAGACTCAAAGGTCAAACATATTTTGACCAGTAAGACATGGCTTGCGTTATATTTTCAGAAAGGTGTTACGAAGAACATTCAAGAAAGAATCCACACATGTATCCAGGCATATAACCCATTCTTTTACTACTTCATTATACATTTCCGTATGGGTTATGAAATAGCGCGAGTAGTGCAGCGAACAGCTACGTTATGAATCACGTCAAAAAGTCTGACCGGCTGTTCGTCCAACCGTCCTTTCGCTCGCCCGGCTGTTCGTACGATAACCCAAAAACACTTTTTAACATATAAAGCTCGAAACTTTGTTCTATAACCTTTTTTTGCCCACAAGTTTCTTGATCGGGGCTATACTCTCCTTTAGCAGCTCTCGCCATGGGCTTCTTCTAATCGATGGTTGCGACTGTTTTTGCTACATTTTCGATTGGGAGGCGTTTAAACACATCTTTACATGCTTAACAGGTTATTTAAGAAAATGTCTTCATAATGATTAAGGACTATTTTTCACTGTAATGTCTATAGCTATCTAGTGTCATAAAAAGTTATACTAAAAAGTGCGCAAATATTACCTAACCTCTTTTTATTTAAGGGCGTGTACATTGCCCGTTCCTTGAATACGATACTTTAAATATTCGTCAAAATAATCCTAGTACAATAATAAATTATTAAAATAAAGTTTGACACTTTTGGCTACATATGTATAGTTTTGACAGTAGTCATGCATTAACAAACGTAATATAAGCACTACACAAGCACCAAATAGAATAATCCAGCATCTAAACCTGACAATTTTTGTCATAAACATTGTTAAATTGACAAATACAGGGTGACCAATAACGGCTTGAGTCGGTAAGTTACTAATGTAACTAAATTCCTGAAAGTTTGTATCGGGTGTTCCGAAATAAGCGAAAGACTTATTTTATGACTAAAAGTTCATATCAGCATAGGTGCACAAACGCATCGTTATCGATATACAGGGTGTTACAGTTTCACCGTACACTTTACAATTGTTATACCTTTAATTCTTAAACACATGCAAACACGAGATACAATTTAAAATGCGAACTTTCAAAACAAATAAACACAAGAGATCATCCAAATAAAGCCAGGACCTACTTTACCATTTAAAAAAATTTACTTTCTTAAGCTTAATTGATTTTTATTTTGTCGATAACGGTCACCTTGTAAATTCTCACTACCATTGACATTCAGCGTAACTTATATTCCAAATTTGCACTAAATATCGCAACAACTGCAGGATATATAAAGAAAAAACGTAAAAAACCATGAACCCTGTAGATCGAAACGATGGGTTTTCGGATCTACGAAGGGCCATTTTTATAACCCCTGACTGTGCTCTTTTTAATTTTGATGAAATTTGCAAAACAATTGCAACATTATTAATATGTGTCGTCGTGATCCTGATTCGAAACAAGGGTGGCATATATGTTAAGGGCTCCAGCTCTCCCAACATGTTTAAAGTCACCCTTCTGCAAGATACAATGGCAACTATTTTTTGGGACTCTCAGAGAATTTTGCTGATCGATTATATAAATAAACGTGTAAACAAATATAGCAAAAGAGCTCCTGGGCATGCGCAAAACCAAATTTTGAAACCGGTGTCACATTTGCTTTTATTCCAAGTGCCTATGTATCGAATTTCATTTAAATACCTGCATAATTAAAAAAGTTTGCATTCGGTTCATAAATGGTCGAGATGTAAAAAGGGCACTGTGAATGTTGAATCCGAGGTTGAATCGATTAGACTCGACTTTGGCATTGCGTATTATATCATATTCAATTTCATGTAATTCGGTTCATAACTAACGGAGATGTCAAAAGGGCCTTCCTTATTTTTTGGCCTACATTGCCAATTCACGAACTTCTATCTACAAATTTAATAAAGGATCCACCTACAAAATTTCATCGTAATCGGTCCATTCGTTTTTGAGATATCGTGCCAACCGGACGGACAGACACTGCAAAATTATAAACTCGCTAGGAGTTCATTAATAAGGTAACGGAGTATTATGAAAATCTGATGCATCGCCTTAGAAACGTGGAAAACTGAGGCAAATTACATCCCAACATCTAAGATGAATGGTTTTTGTAGGAAGGGGAGGGGAATTAAATTTTGTACAGCTATGTTTAAATTATTAGTCGCCTTGGATTTAACAAAACCATCAAGAAACAAATGCTAATCTGTAGTACAGTGAAGCATAAATAAATTTGGCTTTTAACCTTTTATTTACTTCGTGTTTTCTCCATATAATAACTTATAAGTTATATTTCATAATATGTCCTTCAAAATTTGTTGTATCGTTCGGATGTGTTACACCTAGAGCGTGTGGTTTCCGTAACTGTTGCTAGCATTCTAAAATGTCAAATTTATTTTTTTTTTATTTTTACACAACAGCAATTGTTTCTTGGCACTGTTCTTAAACAAAAAGCAAGAAAGGAGCTATAAAATTAAACTCTAAAGTTTTTGCAAGTTCTGAAACAAACGATTAAAAGTAAACCAGAATCAAGCTTTTGTTCATATTAATTAAAAATTTATTTGTACAAAAATCGCTCGTTGTGACATTCCATATGATCTTGGACTCAATTAATTCAAATTTGGGGAAATTGTAAACAAGTTCACTACTATTAAATTTTCATTGTTCAAAGCGAGAACCAAATCCTTATAATTTACATATTTTTGGCAGCGTTGATCAAGAATATTCCTAAAATTGTTAAACGAAAATCTTTAATTTCCAAGCTTTCTTTTTCCCACCTTAAAAACTCTTCCATAGCAAATAGTGTTTGCAGCGATACAATGTTCAAATACACTCCAGAATATTATTTGCCGTTTTCGTTTTTTGAAATAAGCTTTGCGGTTTTATAACCTATATCGAAGTGAACAAACAAAACCGCAATCAAAACGTGGATCAAATTTAAAAACTTCAAAATAAATCCCCTGTTTTATTTAATTGAATGCTCAAGGTTTTAGTTTTTAGTTAATACATTTTTGAAAATAAAAGTGTAATTTCAAAGAAATAATTAAGTTGATTCCGCAAAAAATAATCGACCAAAGCTTTGCCACAACGATGAGACCTTGTTTGTGTTGGTGTTTTTTGGGCACCTAGGGCCATTTTGTTTGGAATGCGGTAAATTCGAAGTAATTACATATTATCAGAAAATTCACGGGAGCGATGATTGGCTGTAACTGGCTGTGGCGGAATTAATTTTTACCTTATTCCGTTGCTAGAAGGGCGTTGACTGTTTCAGGTTCAGTTAAGTTCATACACTGTACAGTTGTTTTTGTACTCAGGGGTATTTTTCTTAGAGTACTCTTTTGTTTTATAAATTTAGGGAAGATTAAGAATGGTTTCTAATTTTTGTTATTTGGTGTTGGTTAGAGAGTAAAAGTGAGTAAAAGTAAGTAACATGCAGATTTTACGTTAGCAGAACGTGCAAAATAAGTATTCAAATAGCATAAAGAATATATAGATATGTAAAATAACTATACACTAAGTAAACTTAAAGTTGGTACTTAATTACCCAAAACGCGCACACAAATGAAATAGTGTTTTCGAAAAACTAGGTTTTTAGGTTTAATTATTATTATACTATTATTAAATATTATTAATAAATAAAAAAATAAAATATTAAAAAAATGCATCAAAGCACTGCAACGATTTCACAAGAAAGTATGGGTCTAGTTATTTCATATAAATTGCTAACAGTGGTATTTGCTTCTTTGGAGGTCAAAAACTTCATCACTTTTCTTTTTGTTTGTCGATTTTATTATTCCACTTTACGTTGTTATAATTTATCGTGCTGTCAATTCCCTAACTGCTGTAATTATTAGGTGCTCCATAAGCGACAGATTTTTACCATGAGATCGTAAAAAAAACAAACTTCTACTACAAAACCAGCCTGACTGGCCAAATCCTGGACTATCAAATAAAAAGCGTATCGATTTA